TTATGATCCAAGAAATTTACAACCCTGCACACTGGTTAGGACAAAAAAGTTAATTAAAAATTTAAAAACCGAGACTCATTAGAGATTAATATTTGAAAATAAAAATCTATTATACATGAATTCTTGCTGGTGTCCCTAACAGTTTATGATACAATCAAATTTAATTTATGAAAAAACATCCAGAAGCAAGACATTTAAAATCTGAAAGAAATAAAAGTCCTGATAGCATTATTTAGGCATCAAGCTAACCTTGTAGCCAAAGTGTTTCAACATCTATTTAAGTTGCCACATACTCCAAAGAGATTTCAGCATGCATTCAATAGTGTAGAATTAGCTGAAAAACTGAAATGGTGTCACAGATTATTTTCTATCCTCATACTTCTGATTAACAGCTCTATGAAAAATAAAACTAAAAGTATCAGCTTAAGAGAACTCACAGGTAATAAGAATTTTACAGAAACTTTGTATTCTGCCTCTCATGTAGTAGTAAAAGGTGTCATGTTGTGTTTACCTAATTAATGTAAGTCATGAGGATTCTAATTCACTCTTGCTCTTAATTTAATCAAAGAGTAAAAAGCTCATGGAGAAGACAGACTTGATTGTCTCTCGAACTCATCTTTTGAAGAATCAAATACTTTGAAATAGAAGGATTACTACATGTGTACTCTTGTATGGATGGATCAGGTTCCTCCCCTTACCACACACACATACACATACAAGTGTGCACTATATACTTCAGCTACGGAAAAGCAATTCTCCATTAGTAAGCCTTTGAACATATCTACTAAATATGTATTTTTATATTGTGGCCCAATTTGCTTTTAGATTCAATTATAATTATAGGGTTTTTCTTTATTAAAAACAGCCAATGCTTAAATTAAGTTTATTAAGTGTCTATTATTCAAGTATTTCTGAGAGTAGTCAATGGAAATAAAAGTAAATTAGTTATTGTTAAGTGCCCAAGGTAAGTATAGAGCATTACTATCAAAGCAGATACATGCCTAGAAAAATAGCACAATTTTAAAGAGCCTCGCGTAAGCCTTTAGCATGTAAACTGCAGTTTTCAGAACATAAGGGAACATGGTTTTAATGGGCAATTTCTCAAGTAACTTTTAAGTTTAAAGAGCAAATGGCAAAATAGAAGTAATATGTGAAAAACTCCATAGGATTATTTTAAAGATAGGTTAAATATTTTTAAGACCTTGATAATTCTTATATTTCTCTCATCTAGTAGAAATACCTTAATCTAATCATCTTAGAAAATGCATAATGACAAATTCTAAACTTCATTTTGGCCCCTATATTCTAGAAATATTTTAAACAAAAATAGGGTTATGTATATTTTCCAGTACATATGTAAATTTTCAGAAGTACTTACTACTCACGACACACTTACCAATCGCAACACTCACTTACATAAGCATCCCTTACAATGCTATACAAGATTACTGTCACAGTACTTTCAGAGAAAGGATTTTATGACCATTTAGCAGCTATTCACAAGATAACTAAGCAAAGTAAGGTTCTGCTCTACTACAATAGAGGGGAAGACTAAAGCACAGAAATGCTAAGTAACTTTCCCAACACCTGAGAAAAAAAATTTAGACAGAGCAGGCAGTACAGCTGGAACCAACTAGTTATAGCTGGCCTAGAAACTGCAAATATGAAATAATATGAAAAATTATACATATAAACTCAACATTAAAACATTTACACTTAACTGAGGATGGAAAATAAATGTGAAGAAATTTAGTGCATAGCCTAAATTACAAACAGATATCGTTTCAAATTCAAAGCAGCAGACCCTATGGAATTATGGGTATTAGTTCATAGGAAGCTGAGAAAAAAAAAAGAAAACAAGCTACATTCAATAAAAACTTATTATGATCCATGGCACTTAATTTTCTGGGAAAATCTAAAAGGAATATACAATGAATATAAGGTATGTCTAACAAGGCACTAAAGTATATTTTGTATGTGTATGTTGGAGTGGTACATATGTGTGCTTGTGTGTGTATATATGGGTGTGCACATGCAGGTGAAAGATGTGGGAGCCAGAAGCCAACCGTGAGTGTTGTTTGTTGTTCTTCAGGAGTCATCTGCTATCTACTTTGGTTTATATTTACTTGTTTGTTTATTTTTATAAGTATGTTTTGCACTGAGGTCTGAGGTTCCCTGATAAAGCTATAGCAGCAGGTAAGTGAGCCCCAAGATCTGCCTGTCTCTTCCTTCCTATCGAAGGGATAATATGCACAATTCTACACACCCAGCTTTTTTTTAATACAGTGAATCCAACTTAATTTTTATATGTTAGTATGGCAGGTACTCTATTGATTAAGCTAGTTTCCCTACCCTTGAAATGTATCTTTATAGAAAATAGGCACGTATTTAAAAGATCCTTCACGAAACCATGGACTCAATCCCCAAGGTTACTAATAAAGAAATAAATATGTATGTGAATAATAAATATATTAAAATTAGGGTTAAATAGTATGTATGCATGATAAACGTACATAAAATATAATTTTGGAGGAAGGATTTTTCAAACAATAATGATGCCAACTACAAAATAAATGAGATGCCAGGCAAACTGACAAATACTAGGTATAAAATTAATTTATAAGCAGATGGCATTCTATATAAAAATTTCAATCCAAGAACAGTGGTTCCTAAACTGAACATATTTTTTAAAAGAAAGATAACATTACAACTAGAAACACTTGTCATTATATCATACCTACTTTAACCTCAAAAGTTCTAATGAAAACATCTTAATTGCATCTATGTTAATTTCTTTAAAGTTTCACAGGTAATTAATGCTGCTATCTCTTAATAAGGTAAGCCAAAAAAGCTACCTTTATCATCAATTCAACAGTAACAGAAATAGTTTTACCATCCAAAAGACTGACTTTCCAGTGCTCCAGATACTGCATATTGCAATAAAGTGGTTAGGAATAAAAACTTATAATAGAAAGTCATGAAATAGATAAGAAAGACTAATTCCACCCAAAAATCTTATCAAGTCTAGAAGATGAAACCTATTCTTTAAAAGACAACTAAAACATGACAGTTTGGAAACACCCTCGAATAAATTACTTTTTGAAATAAAAATTGCACTCATTCCTCATGTTAAATATATCCAAAAATACATCTAATTAAAAATCTAGTGATCTTATAGTAAATGAATCAGAATTAATGTAATATCTCCAAAAAAGGATAGTCTTGTATATTTGTTCAAATAGTTACAAGACAGCAACGAGCACCTAAATCTGTACAATTCCAAACTCGTCAAGCTCTTCAACCTTACTTCCAGACCCCAGGAAATTACCTTTGAATTTTCTTAATTACATGAGGCTGTAAAAAAATTGCATAGTTTTATATATACACTATGTTGCATTTGTGGTCAGGATATCACTTTTGATAGTCTTCAAAAATTATAATAGGAAGACAGGAAATCCTGTGTTTATCTTACACTTGGAAGAATTTAGTTAATCTTTAGAAATCCCTACAAGAAGGGAAATGAATTGCTTCAAAGAAATATTAGCTAATAACAGTTTCCTAGCTTTCTACTTCTTCAATGGAATTTTCACTTTCTCCTTCTTCAGTAAAAAGCAAAAACCTAATTTTTAAAGGACCTGAAGAAAGACAGATGGGGATCTTACTTTTGGAAGTCCCATAAAGTCAGAGAGAGAGAGAGAGAGAGAGAGAAAGAGAAAGAGAGAGAGAGAGAGAGAGTGTATGTGTGTGTGTGTATGTTGCCCTGTGTACCTTTATGATGGTGCACATCAATAATGTTATGGGTTCTTCAGATTTTCTAATACTTCAGTGGTTAAAAGGATACTTTATAGAGATACTGACAATTTATATTTTAAGTTGAAATTTGTTATAAATGTCTTACATAGTTTATGCAATCATGAGTATTATTTAATAAAGTTTGTTAGTTGTTTCAAAAAAAAAAAGCAAAAACCTAACAACTTTCTATTTTATATTCGATGACATATTTTTGAAGTTATATTCTTAGTGAGTGAAATACATGACAGCATTCTAAAAGTATTTTAAATCATACAATACAAATATATGTGTCTTATCAAATGTTTTATTCTTTTTGAAATGTTACTTTCTTTGTCCCCAGTTAACTGAATATAGACTAGCTAAACACAATTTCTGAAGGAACTCGAAAATGTTCCCTTACATATTGTGTGAATCTTTGTGTCACTGTCCTCTGAAGGACTAGTAACTTTGCAATGAGCACCTTTTGCTTTCCACCTGCCCCTACCACCACCACACTCAGCATGTAGTTTCTTCTTTTAGCCAGAGATGCAAATGGCTAAAACTGCAAGTCTCTGCACCTGAGGAGTGCCCACTGAGCAGCACCAGCTGTGGCTCCAGGAAGGCACCACGTTCTACTTCGATGTTTTTGAAGTACAAAACAAAACAAACAAAGAAGAAAACCAAATAAAAAGTAAAGTCTATCTAGGCCATCTTTTCACCTTTCTTTATTTCATAACAGAGAAGCATTTAACACATTCATTTTGAAAAGCAATAAGGAACTGCTAATGCATTGTTGCCAATCAAACTCTATAAAAACCAATGTGAAAATCTGCAACTTTTACGATGATACACCAAGAAACTTTAGAAACTCTGTGGTCTGATGAGATAAAGCAATCATCTTAGTACAAGGTACTCAGAACAAACATTTTTGCAGCCTCTTTATACAGGCATTAGCAATTTATTCTCAAGAGAAAAGGAATTCTCTTGCTCAAAATTCATACTGTCACTCTTATTCATATCTAAGTCTGGAGTATAAGCATGTGTAGCAGGTTAATAAGTGGAAAAAAAAACCTATTTCTGAAGTACCATTCTCACTAAATATTTTATAAAGGACTTATTCAGTAATTTTTTTTTTACTATATCTGTTCTTAAAAAAAAAGAGAGAAAGAAACCAAATGGTGGGCATTTAACTTTAACCCCTAAAGACAAAGTCTCAGTGTTCCATTTACCTGACAAGATTCTCATTATCTCCAGTTCCTTTGCAAGTTGCACATTCTGTTCTTAAGTCTTCAGCCTTGGGCTTCTTTTGCAACACAGACTGCCTCTGCCTTCTTTCTCTAGGAACTCTTTCCTGCCATTCGGAAAAAGAAAGTAAACTAAACAAACTCTGAATAGGAGGAAAAAGGAAATCACTCAAAGCAAGAAAGTTTCCCTCTGATCAGACATTGTAAAGAGAATTTTACTTATTCGAACCTCATGCTTTTCTTCCTCGGGAACAAAGCTTCTCTTTCGTCCTCTGGTTCTCTGGAAAGAAAACCCATAAAAATACTTAAGGTTTAAATCATGCTAAACACACATTTTTCTCTGTTAAGTTTTATGGCTTAAGTTATAGTTGGAAAATTGGTATTTCTTCTTAATGTCAGATTCCTCTACTGCATGTTGGTAAAATTATGTCATTATACTAACTTTTAAGAAAAATACACAAATATTTGATAGGAAAAGAAATTAATTTTCCAAAACTATTCTAAAGGGTTTTCCTCAACACTGCATACCTATATATACAATTTACTCAGAACATTTAATTTTTCATATCTTATCAAAAATCACTTCCACAACTAAAACACTGAAACAGGAATAATACTGTACCTACTGTTTTCCCACACATGTACTTATCCATGTTGTGCAACTAAAAATAACATAGGCAGCCATTAAAAAGGTGGGAAGCAAAAACCTCATAATCCCCAAATCTCAGTTAAAATAAGACTAAAATAATTTAATAAAAATTATATCCTGTATTTTGGATTTCATTTAGCATTTGAAAGACTGCATCTACATGTTTAAAAATAATACAATTTTGCAGCCAATATGGTTAAACTCTCCATCCTACACCTGCTTCTGAAGATTTAAAAATCCCCATCTGCAGACCACAGCTCTAGAGATGAGACAAAAGGCATCAGCTGGAGTTTACTCTAATGCTGAGATTAAAAAAACAAAAAAACAAAAAACAAAAAAAAACATTTATTTCTAAGTTAGATAGGTACTAAATAATTCTCAACAGAATTATTTTCTAATATGCATCAATTTTCTAAATGCATCGATGCTGACTTAAACTTCAGTTCTTCTGAATATTCAATCCCTTGCTAATTAGTACCAATTCATAAATCTCATACTGTACTGTGTAATTTTCCAACAACAACCAAAATCCAATTAAAGTCATTCAAGACAAGATATGTAGCCATTTATATCTGTATTGCCCATTGGTATCTTTTAAATACATTATAGAATAATTTAGTAAGAAAAGATAATATTTCGTCCAGGAAAGAGCTGCAAATGCAGGCCCTACTAAATAAGTTCTTACTTTAAAACTAGGGCAGTGTGTTGCTCCTCAAACGATCCACCACTGACCATACACACTAATGTCCAATGGGCACCTGTTTAAAAGGTAGAATTCGTAGGCTCATTCCACTATATTGAATTAGAACCTTCCTTTTAACAGCAATATGAAGTTACATATGTTAACTTTAATCCTTCTTTACATTGTGTGAATATATGTTGCTATAAACAAGCTAACTGGCCAGTAGCTGAACAGGATAAAGTTAGGCTGGAAAGTCAAACTGAGAATGAAGGGAAGATGAAGGGCAGAGTCAGAGAAGTCATCAGCCAGAGGGAAAATGAGTCAGACACACAGAATATGATAGAAGTAAAAGCCACAAGCTTCAGACAGCACACAGAGTAATAGAAATGGGTTAAGTTGTAAGAGCTAGGTAATTTCAAGCCTGAGCTATTTACTGGCCAAGAATTTATAATTTATATTAAATCTCCAAGTCAGTTATCTGGGAAGCAGTTATTTGTCAGTTATTTGTCAGCAGGAAAACTCCATTACAGACATCGACACAAAAGAGCGCCAACTTGGGCTGGAGAGATGGCTCAGATGTTAGGAGCACTGACTGCTTTTCCAAAGGTCCTGAGTTCAATTCTCAGCAACCACATGGTGGCTCACAGCCATCTGTAAT